TGTGAAAAGGTATCTCGCCAGGGCTCAGAAACGTGAAAGCAGGTCAAAGGTCAAGTTCTCTGTCAACAGGCACATCTAAATCTAAGGCAAAGGGTATTGTCCGAGATGGGGTCAAACCGGAAGATGCCAAAATAGCAGCAATCAGAGATTGGTCGAAACCCCGCACCTTAACTGAGTTGCAGTCGTTCCTTGGGTTAGCCAACTACTATCGCAAGTTCGTACGACACTTTACGATAATGGTTGTTCCCCTTCGCCGATTGCTTAAGAAAGAAGTAATTTGGAAGTGGGATTTAGAATGCACGATGTCCTTCAAGCGTCTGAAAAAGTGTTTGATTAATTATCCGGTTTTCAAAGTGGCGGACCCTTCCTTACCTTTCGTGGTCATGACCGACGCTAGTCAATATGGTATAGGTGCTGTACTCCAGCAAGATGATGGGCATGGGTACAGACCTGTAGAGTTTATGTCTTGCCGCTTACCTAATGAGAAGGTGGCCGCTTCAACGTATGAACGAGAGTTGTATGCTCTACGCGAGGCTCTCAATCATTGGTGACACTACCTTATAGGAAGGCATTTTAAAGTATACTCTGACCATGAAACACTTCGCTGGCTCAAAACGCAAGCTCGAATGACACCTAAATTAACAAGGTGGGCTGCAGAGATTGATATGTTCGACTTTGAGCTGAAGCCAGTAAAGGGTAAGTACAACGTTGTTGCTGATGCACTAAGTCGTCGATCAGACTTTTTCGGTGCTATTGTGACCTATCTAGATGTAGGTGCTGACCTACAAGAAAAAATTAGAAATGCGTATCCCTCTGATCCTGTTTATGGAACCATGCTTAAGCTAGTGCAAGAAAAGCCAGCAGAGTTTCCCGATCATAAAGTAGCTCAGGGTCTATTGTTTGAACGAACGGATGTGAATGATAGGCTGTGTATACCCAATAATGAAGAGATCAAAAGTATGATCTTGGGGGAATGTCATGATACAGAAGGCCATTTTGGGTGGAAGAAGACCTATGGGACTTTGTTACGTTCCTACACCTGGCCTCGAATGAAAGCAGATTGTATCGCGTATGTGCAAGGTTGTCAAGTGTGCCAACGAAACAAGAGCACCACGCAATCGCCCCTCGGGCTACTTAAGCCCTTACCTATCCCTACCGGCCCTGAAGACTCTGTCTCTATAGATTTCATGGATACTAAGGTCAAAAGCAGGAATGGGAAAACGCAAGTAATGGTCATAGTGGATAGATTTACTAAATATGTTGTTTTTGTAGTTTTGCCTTCAGAAGCAAAGACCGATCTGGTTATTCGGGAATTATTTAACCATTGGGTAAAAGACTTTGGACATCCCTTAACTATTGTGAGTGACAGAGATACCAGGTTCACGAGTGAACAATGGCAGCAACTGATGAATGTATATGGCTCTAAGTTGACTATGTCATCAAGTAGGCATCCTGAGACTAATGACCAGACTGAGCAGATGAACAAGATTTTGCAGCAAACTTTACGCATGTACATCCGTCCCGATCAGATTGAATGGGATGAACATTTGCCTAAAGTTGTTAGTGCCTATAATAACTCTGTACACTTATCTACGTGTAAGACTCCTATGGAGTTACATTTGGGATGGCGTCCACGTAGACCCATTGATCAATTGAACCCGGATCAAGTACATAAGCTTCCTATAGGGACTAGTGAATTTGCAGTCCAATATCAGAAAGACATTGAGAAAGTAAAAGAAAATATACTCAAAGCACAGCATCAGATGATTGAACAGGCAAATAAACACAGACGCCCGTCTCAATTTGTTGTGGGAGATTTGGTTTGGGTGAAGTCTAAAGAGTTTGCTCCTGAAGAAAACATCTCTCAGAAGCTTCTACCCACCTACAGAGGACCTTGGCAAGTTGTAGATGTAATTGGAGATGTGGATGGTCCTTCTTATGTCATTGAGATTCCTCCACATCTACGTACGTATCCAGTGTTCCATGCATCCAAGCTCTTGCCTTGTGTAACAAATGAGCTCTTCCCAAGTCACCGATCAGCGATACCTCCGAGTATGGATGGGAAGTATGACGTGGATAAAATTGTTGCAGAAAGTACTTACCACACTGGACGTAGAGGCAGACCACAACGACAATATAMGGTGAGGTTTGCATTTSAGGATCCTAGTGAGGATCGCTGGTTTACAAGAGAAGAACTATTAGAATCTGCACCTCATATTGTATCTGCGTACGAAAGCGCCAAAAGAGGGATTCATATCCTTGATAGGTAAATGATTCTCAGAGGACTTCGAATTTAGGCCGGTGAGAGTAAAAGGGCCTTTACCCGCTATAGGCCTCAGGCCTTGCCAAAGTAATGCAGCACAGGCCTTGTAAAAGTAAAGCATTGTGAAAAGGTATCCCCAGGGTTCAAAAACGTGAAAGCAGGTCAAAGGTCAAGTTCTCTGTCAACAGGCACATCTAAATCTAAGGCAAAGGGTATTGTCAAAGGACTTACCTGTTCACCAGGAGATGTGTATGTCATGGCTGTTCGGGTAAGAGTGTGACTGTACGTGCAGGCAATGTACCTGTTCGTGCAAAGGAAAGTGTCTGTTCAAGCAGTAAATGTGTCTGTTCGATGAGAGTTGTGCCTGTCCGAAAGTAAAGTCAATAGGCACAGTCCCAGTTCTGGTCTAAGTCAAGGGGTCAATCCAGATCCAGACTTTCAAGTCCAAATACAGGCCGAGAGGCCTCAGCAGCAATTGAACTTCATTGGGACTCTACTGGGACACATGCAATGCAGGGTCTGGGACAAAGGAAAGGCCGAATTGAGCCAATGCAGACCCAGCGAGGAGTGGCCAGCACTATAAAGGGAGCTGCCTGCCTCATTCCTCGCCAGATCTGCACTGGCTGCAATGCGTGGAAGTGCTGGTGCACTTGTGCGCTGAGTCAGGAGGAGCAGCGCTGGAGGTAGAAGATGCGCTGAAGGAGGGAGGAAGAAGCCTGTACGCTGGAAGTGATGCAGCCATAGCTGCCCAGTGAGTTAGTGTTAGTAGTAGTGGGTTAGCATGTAGCTATGAGTAGTAGTCAGAGTAGATCCTCATGAGTGAAGAGTGTGTATGCATCGTAGGAGGAAGGGACTGAGGCTGGGAGTGTTCAGTCAAAGTTCGGCTATGGAAGATACTTACCTGAGTTGGATGTGACCTGCAGAGGTGGCGCTGATGAGTAGTGTCCACATTGATGACTTAGAGACTATCTGCAGGAGTAGCGCTGATTCAGTGGAAGTCATATTGATGAGTTGACAAGAGATTGGTGTTGCGCTGATGAGCGCTGGACTCAGGGAAACTTTGAAACACGTTGTATTCATATTTCTGATAATATAAGTTGTGAAACTCGGTCCTCTTCCCATCTACCTTTGTCTATGACTTGAGACTATTGCTCGTGGTGTGTGAGGATGATGCATGACTTGTACACACTTGCGTGAAAGGGTCCCCAGGACCCATGCAA